TAGGCCAAAAAAAAAAAAAAAAACCATTCCAAACTCTCCATGAATTGAATAAACTGATAAAAAACACTGAATGTCATAATGCCATTTATGTCAAATCTCATTTGAAACAACAGTAAATAAACTAATGCGTAACAAGTTTGTCACTCAAGTGCTTTTCTCTGCACTTGAGTTCATATTGGTATGGCTAAAGACATATCCTCTCCTCCAGCAGGGAGGAAACATTTTTAACTATCACCATTAGAATACCTGTGTCAAAATGAACATCAATATATATGCCCTCACAGCTTAAAAATGCTGTGACTTAGCTGTGCATAAACCCTGGAACAGAAGACATGAAAGTTATGGATACAGCTACGCTACAGCATGATACACCAATTCAAACTGCTACATTTAATCAGCAATGGCTTTTTAAACATCTTGCACAAATTATGAAATTAAAAATTTGAGCTAAAAACACTTTTAATCCCTAACTGCATAGTGTTTCAGATCTGCAATAAACCAAACCAGGTGAAACCTAATATTACTTGAAAGTTTTTTAAGCTTCCAATTTTTTTTTTAAATGGGAATTTTTTTTTACACCACCACGGTTCAAAATTCGAGCACAGATAATATTCTTCGTCTTAACGGCACGAATCACCTTGCAGAGAAGAAAAGCAGAATGCAGACACAGTAGTGTACACAAAGGAAGAAAAACAAACTAGCATAAAATCTAATAGGATGCATGCAGTATAGGATCAAGCAGAAAAAGAGTTTCACAGATAAACGGATGTTAGTAAAAATGATTAGCTGTCCAAGAGGGAGAACAACAAAGACATGTCTTATAATAAGGAATTATGACCTCCCTTAATTTCAATAGCTGTATTGTACTGTGTCTCTCCATACTCAACAGCAGACAATTGGACATTTTTAGGTAAGAGTATTCATTCATCAATAAGCATCCGTTTTAGTTGTTGGATGGATATGGGCATGCAAATAGGTATCTTTCCAAAGCATTCCATGCATAATCTATATGATTTAAATTTGAGCAGCATACTAGCTAATACATTTCAGCAATATCCTCTCTTTCTAGCAACACCTCCACAACATGTGTCTGATGTGTTCTGCCATTATCAAACATAAATTCAACAGCACCTTAGAACATATATACATGGGGACGAATCACTTCTTGATAGTACAGGAAAAAATAGGAGGGACAACAAAACCTCACCAATCATTTCACAAATATAATCTTGACTTCACTAACTATAAACCTTCCATTTCGGGACGTACATGTTTCGGTCAAATCTATTCTTTCACCAAAAACTTTTATACTGCATATATCCATAAAACTAACCTGCAATGTGTCTTTAAGTGATTATTGGCCAATTATGCTTTTAATTTTTAATTGGCTTTCTCATCATAAAACCTAAGGGAAATCAGAAGTGCCCCATAACATTCATTTGCAAATAAACAACATTAAATAACATACCAAATTATTTCTGAAATAAATTATTTTAAAAATCTGTTTCACTCAAGGAATTATTGTACATTATAAGTTATTACAGAAAATTAAAAATAATTTAAGCATTATTTATAAATGCTCCTTGGAAACACTGGTGAATAAACAACTAAGTTGAGGTAAATATGTTAATTTTCTTAATAGTTACATGATTTGTTTTTCATACCAACATATTTCATCTTAGCTTTTACTGAATAATTTGTCCAGTTGAGAAATATTTTTGTACACCCTAATTAGTTGAGAAACTATTTCAAGTAGCTGGACATTTGCAACTTACAGGAATGCCATATAGGCATAATATAAACAACAAGAATGTTGATCAAGATGCACCACAGAAGGTGAATATATTACACCTGTGAGAATAGGAATTTCCCTCCCAACTGTGATGGATAAGACTGTTTCCCTACCAAAAAGCCTCTCAAGAGGACTTTTAGGTTGCCAACATTTTAAGTGTCCTCATGCAGTTAGGATGCTCTACTCTTATAAACATTCAATCCTTCTCTGGAATTTGAACCCACTGTAAACAATACAGCGGTCACTGTGCTGATTAGAGTAGCACTACTTCTTGACAACAGCATTCTCTATAAAACATGTGGAGGGAAGTGCAACATTCAACATATTGCTCCTGCAGATGAACATAGCAGAGCTATCTGAATATTCTCTTCCCCTGATGTTACACGGATGAAACTGCCTTAACATCTTTCCACATTATCTGACATCCAGAAGCATTTGTGATACTAAAATAGTTCTCAACTGTAAAGGTCATCATCTTACTTCAGTGGTTATGTGTCGTACCATTCTAAAGAGTGACGGTGATAGGTGGCCATCAATGAGATGCAACAGTTAAGACGATAGGGATACAGACCATTTTTATATAGGTATCTGGGTTCAGTAAACTGCAATATTTGATATCCATTGACACACACAACTGCTTACCAATATGCCAGATATATAATACAGGTCTCTTTTGATCTGCAAAAAGATATACTGGTCATCCATTGACATTGCTTTTTTTTTTTTTTTTTTTTTCCTGACCACCACCAACCCACTTGACCCAGTACTAGTCTTCTGGAAGGATCTGACTTGTGAAAAAAACACTATATATGATAACTCTTTGGCTACACTTGTTATGCTATGTCTCCCTCAAGTTTATTGATCACTCTTAAATATGTGAAGTTCTCTACCAGGTTTCTTTCAGTTATGTTACAAGTACAACTCACTTAAGACTTCCAACCAGCATCTTTAATAAATTTCATCACCGCTTTGTTTTTAACAGTGAAAATACCCTCTGCAGGCATTTTACAAGCTTTCACTTGACCTATGATGTTTTGTGCAACAGCATATGAATCAACTTCCTCTGAAACTGAAACTGGATGTTTCATAGTGCCCTGACAGATGATTTCATGGCTATCTGCTTCAAAATTATGCCAGTGTTTATGTTTCACAAGCAAGTGTACCCCCAAGACAACAGTTGACGGCTTATCATAAAAATAGTTGAAGTGAAGCATATTGGCTTTAAAAAAAATTTGCACTAAATTTCACTCCACTTCAGTATGTTTTCAGTACTAATAATGGACGAAAGTTATTAGAAGCAAAAATTATTTTTGCATTCTAGCATGTATGTTGAATTACTTTATTTTGTTTCAAGAAACTTAAATAAAGTTAATTTGTTCAGTAATTCATTTTGCATCTGAAAATACATCAAAATTGTAGTATTATATAAGGTCATGTGAAAAAGTTTTCAGATTGAATGTCCTGTTCTCTAACAGATTGTGGTTATTGTACCAGCCACTTGGAGTACTGTTCCTCAATTACAATGGGTTAGCATGGGGAAAATGTGGCATTCTAGTATTTACACAGAGGTTAAACGTGCTCTTAACAAAAACCACAATGGCAGATTTCCATCAACAATGCATTTGCACCAAACGTAAAGATCATTTTAGTGGATGAAACTATTGGTCATTTCCAAACTTTTGAATGGTTTCTCTGTTTAAGGAATGTGGACTGGATCAGCAGATGATTATGAACACTCTAGTCAACAAACATAAAAAATGATGGAGACAGTACATCAGCTTTATCAAGAGAACACTCATTATATGTACTATTGATGAAGTTGGAATCTTGAGACAGAAGAAGCTGGCTCAAGATTTTGATAGAAGATTTAATGCCTCTGGAAGAGTGTCAGATAAAATGATCTGACAAGTAGCAAAATAATAGTTTCTTCATCATAATGCATTACCTCAGACTATCTACCAACTCAATAGTGTTTAGCCTATAATAGCAGGACCCTGATATCACATCCTCCAGCCTCACACACTTTGAATTCTTGTTTTCAAAACTAAAAATGAAGCTGAAGGGGTAAGGATTTGAAACAGTGGAGACGGAGATCACTAATAACAAGCCCATCCATTCTTTAACCCTTTCAACCTGACATTTACATGATTAAAATTTAACTATAAAAAGTACTGACATTTAATGTTGACATACTAAAAGAAGTGTAGTATGGGTTTAAAGTTTTTAACTTTTCTTGTTTTCTAAAAACTCCTGGGACAATATGTCCCAATTGTATTGCCCACTAAGACTATTTGTCGCAGAATATTACCCTTTCCCAGAAAACAAATCTAAATTAAAACTAAAATTAATACAAAACATAAACTCTGTCACATGCACTAGTTCATATATAACAAAAATTTTCATACATATTTCATAAACACAAACATAATATATCAGCATGTAGTAATTTGATAGCTGATGAAACATATTAACCCACTATTAAATACGACTAGGACAATATATCCCACAAAAAAAATTATTTACAGTTTCTTATATCTGACATTTGAAATGCTAAATTCTTACTCAATAAGAACTATTTCATACTAAGTATGCCTTAAATATAATTGTACTTAACTGTAAAATTTTAAAAATTAGACAAATCGAAACTTGAGTGATTGGTGTGCTCAAAAACATAAGTGCGCCATCTGCAATCTAAAAGTATTGCCAGGTTTCTTTAGTCACATATTTGTTCCCTAATTCATTAAAAACACTGCAAACATAAAAAAACCATTTAAAAGTGGGTTTTATTTGGCCAAAAGGACATGAAATCTAATCTTTGGGACATATGTGCCCATTAGGACTAAAAGGGTTAAGTCATTACCTAGGAAACTTTTAAGACTATTTTTCCTCTATATAAATTTAAAAACATTACACAATGAAAGGTTGAATGCAATTCACAGAACATGCAAAATAAGGCTGATCTGTAACTGTTTCTTTTATATTTGAGAACATACTTATCTATGCTGCACAATATTATACATAAACTACAAATTTCATGAAAGCAGTCAAAGTCTTACGGTTCTTAAATTTAAAAGATTGGTTTTTGAACATCACATCCACTTTCTATAAACACAGACAACTGATAAATACAGAAAAATAATACAGACTTAGTCATATCCATTAGATAAATCAAAACTCAATAATAATTTGTAAATCCTGGAATACATACCCCTAAGAAGCTGTTGTTTTTGCTGCAAAAACTGACGTTCTAACAGAGCAATTTTAGCAGCATAACTATCACTAAGTCTCTTCATAGAAAGTTCATGATTTATATTTAACTTCTTCAGAAAAGCTAATTCCTATAAAAAATAACATATGAATGTATCATTTTGTACAACATATGAATTAATTTGGACACATTTACCTACATGTGTACATTTACTAACTAAACACAACAAAAATGAGTAATTCAATAATTAATAATATTACATGTTTTTCAATCTTCTTTGTATTATTTCGAATTTTGTACACAGAGGGATGATTTTAGTGCAATCATGTAATTTTTTTTTTTTTTTTTTTTGTGTGTGTGTGTGTGTGTGTGTGTGTAATGTAACGCGAAAATTCTATAGAGAGAAGCTATGCTGGAAAAGTAAGAATACTGGAGCAAGTCCATTTAACACTGAGTAAATGGGTATCTCGTCAACATAGCACGATATCACCAAGCTGACAACAGTTTTGGTGACTTATTTTGTCGACAAAAAGTCACCAAACTTGGAGACATTTTGGTCCGGTCCCTATACCACTATAATAGGTTTTGTAACTGAATAAATGTAATTGATCACTATATTAGCTATAACTGTAATTTGGCCCTCATACTGCTTTCCAGCAAATTCAAGAAGCAGAAAGTACTAGAAATATCTCAGCGGCCAGTTGAAAACTATGAAAGGCTGAAGAGAGAGCATCTGTCTCAGTTGTTGTTATTGTTGCGAATTGTTAGTTCAGCATGAAATCGCAGATATTTCCAGATTAGCTTTCTCATTAGATGTGCTTTGCATTGCATTGTGTTTAACATTCTGCCTTGATAGCCTGAGTTCTTCATATCTCCATAGTTCAATCGGAGGCTCTCCATAGCAGAAATCATTTTCAGCTGTGCTGTCAAAGCATACTTAGAACATTCCACAAACAAATACAGTCTAACATCTCAACATAGTAGATTTCTCAAAAGTACAATACCAACATTAAAATCTTTCCTTTATGATAATTATAATGATGATAAAAACTCCCAAAGCTTACATACAGAAAAACTCTCAGCTCATTCAGTTTTATGCTAATGATGTCATAATTTATTTCTTCTTTGAAGAACTGGATATCATGCATATTTTCTAATAATAAAAAACAGCCACAATTCAAAGATCACACACATCAGAACACATCAAAGATTAAATTTTTATTATGCAACAATATAATGACGATTACATCTATCTATTTAAATCATGGCAGTCTTTGAATAACCCAAAAAGATTAGTAGAATTCAATGACTATAATCACCAAGCGAATACATACTATATGCAAAGCTATGTTCTTTCCTGTAGCTTCACAAGGAACAGGAACAACAATATACTGAACTGCCACTGAATTTAAGTATGCCTAATTAATAACATGTTGCTTCTCCTATGACCGTGATAATGGATAACAAGGAGCTACAACACTAGAACTTGCCCTAATGGTGGACTCAATTTCAATCCAAATGGCAGAAAAGCATTAAGGGATTAAAGTGATTGTCCAGCAGATTTACTTACATGCAGCAAAACATCTTGGAACAAGTACCAAAAGTATTAAATTGAAAAAACGGGGGGGGGGAGTTAACTTACAGAAAATATCTCAGACCATTACTGAGTTGCTATATCCTTCTATATTTTGAACTTAACAAACTGTGTCCATGACTTCATGGACTGGTGCTATACAGTCAATTGTACTTTTGACGGGGTGGAGCAGGAAAACCTAACACTCGGACTATTTCTGAAATTGAATGACCCATGCATCAACCACCTATTTTGTTCCTGATCATGTTATGAAAAACTAATCCAATAAAGACTGTAACAATCAACAAAGTCAATTTTGTTCTTTTGATAGTTCAGGTTTTTATGTAATAGGCAATAAAAGGCTCAGTCTAAAAAACACAACAACTAATTTCTTTACAAGTTACAGAAATAGAACATAACATTCTTTTGCTGCTAATTGTTGGGGGACAGCGACTTCCTTACAGAACATTGTAGGTCTTAGTTAAGTACATTACAATTCAAATTCTAATCATACCTTGACAAAATAGGCAAGGTAGACCACCCTCTAAAGGCATTTCACAACACTCCCCACCTAAACTCTTAATACAGAGTTCCAATTGTCATCATTCGTATTTACATCAATCACACTGCAAAATAGTAATTACCATATTTTTACATAGGATCTAATAAACAAGTTTTCCATACAAAGGTTTCTTGAGTAAACTATTCATATAAAGAATAGAGGAATAAAAATTCTATTAGCACATAATAATTAAAAGAATGCAATAATGAAAACACAAAAAGAAAGTTTCAATCTTATGAAAACATATTGTTAATTTTTAAATTTTTGGACTCGGTCATTCAGCAGTAAATTAACTGAGCTGGACTTCTTATTAGTCCAGTGCCAGTTTTGATTGAATATGAGCGAACTTTGAAATCCCTTCCCAGGAAAATCTCTACAATTCTACCCAGAGACCACATATTCCTAGGGTAGCATTCTTCATTGATTAACACTATGTCATTTGGTTTATGAAGGGATTAAAAATGAGGGAAAAATTATGAAGGGATAGCAAATGTCTACCTATTAAAAAATGTGCAGGTGTGAGTGGAGAGGTTTCTGTGGGTTCACTATATAAGTAAGTAACAGTCATGGAACTGATTATGATTTCAATCTCAATGAATACTGTTTTGAGTTCATCAAGAGTGAGCGAAGAACAGCCAAGAATTTTTCTAAGACTTGTTTTGATCGTTCTAATCATCCTCTCCTATGCTCCCATTTCAACTATAAACTTCCAATGAATATTGTAAAAAGAAAAGAAATTCTTTATGGAAGGATTAGAAATACAGTTCCACAGTTTTTGAAGTTCAATATCTGCATGCTTGAATGATTTCGCATTATCACTGTATATTGTTGAACACAGTCCTCACAGCGCTTAAATCGTCTAAAGGCTAACAAGAATGCTTCTGTGTTCATGGAAGGTACCAGTTCTAAATGGATGGCATGAGTCATTGCACAAGTAATCGTGTTTATTGTTGCTCTCTTTAATAAAAAAAAAAAATGGCCCTGCACAGTCCAATCCTCTTACAGTGAATGATGGTGACTGAAGAATTCGATCCGGAGGAAGTGGAGCTAAATCTTGAACTCCAGGCTGAACACTATATCTTTTGCAAAATATCCATCTGCTCAACAAGGATTTAATTCATTGTCTGCCTTTGCAAACCCAAACTTTTTCACATAGGTGCGCCAGAGTGGACGCCACACAGAAATCAAATACCCTTTCCTGTACGTCGAAAATTAACAGTTTGACATATCGACACTTTGACAGCAGTATCCATGGATGCTTGGCACATTGCAGACAGTCTGCAAATTATATTCTGCCCTTTAACCTTTCAGCGAGTAAATGTTGCACCTTTTGCCAACTCACTTTCCTTGAAATAAATCGAGGATTTCTTTTTTGAAATATTGAAACTGAGTGTTTTAATCCAATATTTTTCTCCATTCATTTATTTCAGAAGTGGATAATATCCACAAAGTCTTGCGGATCTAGAGTTAGAATTGTGTTAACGAACCTATATATCCATGCTGTTATTCGATATACCTTACTTAATTTGCTAAACTGATTTAAACTGAATAATGAATTGGAAATTTGTGCAGTGTTCTTGTTGTTGATGGCAGCTTGCAGGGCATTAAGAGTGTTTGTCTTTTATATGGATATCTCTTCCTCATTTGCCTCCATGTTTGGTATCTTTGGCCACAAATTTTCAGGCTAGACAAGCCAATTCGGTCTGTTTTGCCATAACAAACTTGAAATGATGGTCTCAGCTCGTTCCCCTTGAAAGAGTAGACCTGCTGAGTTATCCTTTCCACTGCAATCATACCAGTGGGTAGCATTGCAAATTTCCTGGATTTCTGCTACACTGTTGCCTACAAATGGCTTTGAGACATTTGGTGATTTCCTTATCCAATGCAGCGTTATTTGGGAGTCACTCCAAAAAATATTGCTCCTTAACATATTATTTATTGCTGTGTTTTAAATATTTATCTAAATGAGCTCCTACAACAGCTCCCATTACTTTACATCTAGGCAAGGTTTTAAAGATTTGAGGGAAGGTATTTTACTTTTTGCCATTATGAAACTGGTTTTAGGTTCCTTATTTTCAACAGCGTATCTAAAGCATGCCACTGCTCCAAAACCTCTGGGTGTCGCATCATAAAAGATATGAATGCTCAGCTGCATGTAATTAATGTTGTGAAAGAATTTTCTTGCAAAATCAGAGGTTTTTAAACATTTCATTTCTGCACACCAGTCTATCCAACTTTTTTTAGATATCGGTGGGAAGTGTAGCTTCTCAGTCTAAACCCAGAAAACAAATGTCTTGTGACATGATCTTAACATGAACTATAAATGGTTGCAAATACCCAATAGAGTCAAATACTTTGGTGGCAGTTTTCAACATTAGTCTTTTTGTGTTGCTTTTACCATTTCCAATCGACTCCTGAACTGGTTTCATGTTTAGCTTTATTACAACGTTACTAGGATTCCAAATCATGCCCAAAATTTTGTTTCTTTATTGAACTTATCTTTTGCTTTAATATTTGACCTCATCCATAAGGCATTTAATTCCTTTGAGTTTCATTTAATTTCCCCAAATTCATAACTGCATCTCGAAAAATATTTACAACATCTACAGACAATCAGTATGCATCTTCTACAGTTTTACTTCTATAAAATAAGTTATCAACCTAAATAGAAGAACTGAGCATTTTAAAACTCTTGGGATGGTCCCCTTTATGCAATTTAATGCAATATTTTACTGTAGCAACCAACAGAAAAGAAATAACCGCTGCCCCGAATGGGACCTGTTACATGCATACACAATTGGTTGGCGCCAGTTAATATATTCCCACATGTTGTAATTCTTCATTCTTGTTTACACTTAGATATGCTGAATGTAAACCTAAGCGCTTCATTTTTTAGAGTGTGTTATGTCTGGGACTCTTTATTGAACAAGCTGATATTCTATTAGTCACTAGGCTTCCAATTTTATTCTATCCTTTTGATTTTTATCTCTTAATT